ATGTCCTGCCACCCCTGTGCACGTGACACCTGCAGCCTTCTGAGAAGTCCGTTGTCATCAGTGCTTCTTTTTCTCTGGAAACACGACTCAAATACGCGTACTCTTCATTTTGTCCACATCCATTCTCTCACCAACCCCTTATAAACACTAAAGCTGTTCATTTTCACATCGCAGTGGTGTTTGGGGCTTCTTAAAAGGCTCACCAAACAGTTGGGGTCAGCACCCACCCCAGCTAGGAGAAGGATTATGGGTATCAAGTGTCTCTAGTCACTACACAAGTCTCTTCTTGTAATGGAGCTTTGACTGACCTAAGTTCTTAGAGGTGAATATCTCAATGTTTCTGAGAGAACTAAGGTAGGGCTTGGCTAGAGACTCAAACCCTGTGCATGACCACGGGGTTTTGGAGCACCTGGAGCTGTCTGGACATTTTCAGAGCTGGTGTGCTTGGACAGTGTAGCAAAGATGCCAAGAGCCCACAGCAAGGTGGGGCTTTCAGCTGTGATGCAAAATGTACATAACTCTGATTGCATCTGGGGGAGGGTACTTTATCATTGTTGGTTTGCACTTTCATTCTCTCTCTGATTTTTAAAACTTTCATTCTGTATGTATGTGTATTTTGCCTGCATGTATGTTTGTGTACCACGTGCAAGTCTGGTCCCCAAGGAAACCAGAAGAGGGAGTCAGAGCCCTTGGAACTGGAGTTGCAGACAGCTGTGAGCTGCCATGCAGGTGCTAGGAACTGAACCTAGGTCCTCTGGAAGAGTAGCCAGTGCTCTTAACCTCTAAGCCATCTCTCCAGCTATGCTCATTGCTTTTTGAGACAGGGTTTCACTATGTAGTACACACTGGCATCCTGCCTTAGCCTCCTGAGTACTAAGGTTACAGGAATGCACCACCATACCTGGAAAACACTTAGGGTGTTTGTTTGTGTGGTATGTGTGTGTGTGTGGTAGAGTGTGTGCCACGCAAGGACACATCAAATGAGTTGTACCCCAGCCCTTTTGAAATCCATCCTTGGCCTTTATAACTGTTTATGACTCCTCCATGGCTTATCATGGGATGTGGTTGCCATAGCCCTGAGAGAGGGGAATATCAAGCCAGAAGAAGACTGTGAAAGTCATTGTAGAGGAGATGCATGACTTGTCTCAATCCTTGTCAAGCTGAATGTTTATTACAGATAGTCCAGAAATGTACCATCTGTCTGGCAGTCATGGAATCAGTAAAGTTTCTTGAAAATTCTGCAGACTGTAAAGATCTCAGTATTTAATAGCTTCAGGGATCAATCCCAAAGAGGCTTTGGGAGCAGACACCTCATTAGCAGGCAGAATGCTGATGGAGCCTGAAATCCTTAGGGATCCTGAGGCCCCCCCTGTTCAGTACATGATGCTGTATGCAGCAGGTGATAAGCCAAGTGAGATGTGTGACATGACCATCATTGGAGTCTCAGGTCTTCCGCCGTTGCTGTGATTATGAGCTCAGACTCTGGAACCGGGCTACTGGATTCACGGCTAGCTTTATCATCAGCCACATGTTGCTTAACTCTGTGTGCTTCTGGGGGCCCTTCAAGGGGGACGGTAATTGTTCCTCCCTGTGCTGTTCAAGGATGACCGAAGGAACCAGTGCTTAAAATAGCGACTGGATACACAGCAAGTGCTACCCAAGTCTTGCCACAGAAGTATGCCAGCCTCAGCCCACACGTTAGCCCAGTTCTATGACACTGGCCTTGTTTGTAAGGACCTCATATGAAGTTATTCTATAAAACGCAGAAGGTAGTGACTACTGTCATTTTGGAGTTGGAATACAATGGTAAATATAATGTAATCTGTGTGTAAGGATTTCCTATAAGGATGCAGGCACTATGCAGACCTGCCTATCATCGGCAGAATGCACTCAGGCAGTACCCTGGTCAGCCCAGGTGCAAAGGACCCCTTTAAAAGAAAGACCTCAGTCTACCCATCCACTTATGCTGTCTTTCCCACTCTTTCCTGATGTTCCCCTGGGGTAGACAGGACTTTTCCTGTCTGCCTCTTCTCCTCTGTCCTCTGTCTCTGTGTCTCTGGGCCTCTTTACCTCTTTTCTTGTTCCATCCCCCTCCTTATCCTCTCTAATAAAACTTCTCACTAAGCTCTGTCTGCCTGGCATGATTGTCCCCCACCTCGGTCACCCTCGCCTGCCCTGGAATCCACCAAGGTTCCCCTTGTACATTACCATAACATCTCCTCCTCAAAATTGAAAGATATTCTTTATTTCCTTGTAGGTTTATGGTTTGGTTTTATACATTTGTCTCTTGTATGCCCTGAACAGATTTTTATGAAACATTGAGGTAAAATTCAATTTAAAATATTTTCTTTAGGAGAAAGTAGTCATAGTATACTGTTTGATGTAAGGTTTCTTTTTCTCCTACTAACCTATAATGATAGCTTGCTCTTCCTCCTCCCCCATCCCAACTTTTTTGAACAGGGTCTCATTTTATAGTTCTGGCTGTCCTGGAACTCCCTATGTAGGCCAGGGTGGCCTCCAACTCACAGAGACCACCTGCCTCTGACTCATGAGCACTGGAATTAAAGGTGTGCACCACCATGCCTGGTCATGGTCTGTCATAAATTCAGGTCTGTGCAATCATGGGCTTCTTGTGTCTGTCTATTCAGTGGCCGGTTTGCTTGATCTTGGAGCTGTATTATTTAATCCTAATTACTACAACTTCAGTAAAAGGTTTTAGAAAAACCAAGATGCTCTACTTTTGATTATTAAAAAAAAAAAAAAAAATGCCAGGCAGTGGTGGTGCACACCTTTAATCCCAGGACTCAGGAGGCAGAGGTAGACAGATCTCTGTGAGTTTGAGGCCAGCCTGGTCTACAGAGCAAGTGCCAGGATAGGCTCCAAAGCTACACAAAGAAACCCTGTCTCAAACAAAACAAAACAAAAGAATAATTACAACAAAAATTGAGCTGGCCAAATTGTTCAGTGGGGAAAAATGCTTGCCATCAAGCCTGAGGATGTGAGTTTGTTCACACGAGTGTGTGCATGCTTGTGTGCGTGAATTTGCTTGTGTAAAGGTATGTTGCATGTTAGCAGTGAATGTTATTTGTCTTCTTCAACAGCTCTCCACGTTATTTGAGACAGAGACTCTCTAAACCAAGAGGCTACTGATTTGGAATAGATTAACAGCCTCTGCCTCACACTGCCATGCCTGTTTTGTTTGTTTGTTTGTTTGTTTGTTTGTTTTACATGGGTGCTGAAGATCCAAACTCAGGTCCTTGTATTTGCACAAGCACTTTACCAATTGAGCCATCTCCCAGCCTCTAAGAATGCTCGAGTTGTCTCCTCCACTCTGCAACCTCCCCATCATGTGTTTGTGTGTTGCCCCCTCCATGAGCCTTAGTTCTTGCTCCCTGCCCTTCCCTCTGCCCATGGGCTGTGAGAATTCCATCATGTCTGTCCCAGAGCACGGCAGAGAAAACCAGCATGAAATGCTCTAAGTGTCATGGCACACTCAGGCCAGTCCTTGACATGAGCAGTCTGAGGGTTTCCTGGCTATCCAAGCCTTTCCTTTGCCTTGCTCTATTATTTCATTTTATCTCAACAGCCACCTCACTCCACCTTGACAGACAAAGCAATGGTCTGGGTAAGCAGCCCTCTTGGTCTCCCTTTCACTTGAGGCACCTGCCTCATCACAGGTCAGCCTGACAGATGGGGCACATTTATTCTGGGAGCCTGACGCTCTTGCATCTTCTGAGGCCTGGTGTGTTACCTCAGTCTTCTCTGTCTGCTCGGCCCTTCTTGTTGAAGATCTGCTCGAGCTGTTTGCCTCCCTGAGGAAATAACATGATTAAATAACCACTCTGCATCCTCCAACCTGGGCTCCACCGAGCCTTCCTTCACTCCTCACCTGCACCTTTTATTTTATCTGTCCCTAAGGCCTGCTGTCCTCCAGTGTGCTTCACAGTGTCCTCCTGGAACCAAGGGCTTTATTAGCTCCAGCAGCTGCTTGTCCTGTTTGCAACCTATTGCCCCCTTCCTGAGACTGAGTGGTGACATGCTTCCATGCTCTTTCCCTAGAGTCTCCACCTCAGTGTTTTCCTCAGTCTTCTTTCCTTCCGCCTCAAAAGAATTGTTGTCCACCATTCTCCTATGGTGGCCTTACCTTTCTGGCTCTAACTTGGACACATGTGTGGCTTTTGAAGCCCCTAGAACATTTCATTTCCTAGCCTCCACTAGGAGGGTTTCCATCTCACCTGCACCAATGACCTTCTTCTATCTCTGAGTGATTATGTCATGCTTTCTGCTTGGACTTTGCTACCCAAAAGGGCAGTTAGCGAATTGTGTGCCACAGCAGGCTGGCCAGCACTGGAGAAGCCAAGTAGCGTGAGCGTGCCCTTGTCTTCCCCAGCGGTGCTGAGCTTGGGTAGCAGAATGGAAATAGTCGTTAATACAGTTATGGTGACAGGAGATCTCAGGGTACAGAAGAAAAGAAAAACTAACTTAGAAAACCAGCTGACATCTCTCTCAAAGATGGCATGGCTCCAGTCCTACCTACAACTCATCTGTTTGTCCAGAGTGAATTCACTAGGCTCACCATGGCCAAATTGAGACACAGTCTTCACCCCTCTACCTAAAGTACCATTCTTGTCTCCCAATTAGGTTCTTTTCTCATCATCATGGCCCAGTTCAGTGCTCATTCTTGTAAATGCCACTCCTGAAGCCTTTTGTTACTTCCCATAGAGCTCCCATTTCTGCCCATGGACACTTGTCAGTTTGGTCCTTGTGATCGGGATGCTTGTGTGCCAGCCTCCATCTCTTTCCAGTGTGTCTAGCCAGCTGTGAACGGTTGTGGCCTTTGGCATCATGCTCTGCACGGTGAGGGGATGTCTCAGAAGGTGGAGAGGTCTAGGCATTCAAGGTTAAGGGGGTTGGCAGACTTAACTAGCACGGATGCAAACTCATACGGGTCTGCTCAGACAGTTCTCACTGTATAGATGTTGTTTTTTCTTTCCAACCAGTGCTTAGAAAGAGCCATGAAGTTTGCCTTTGAGGAGTTCCACCTCTGGTACCAGTTCGCGCTGTCTCTGATGGCTGCGGGAAAGGTGAGTCTCTTCATGAGTGCCATTCTCCGTCCAGGCTGATGCCATCGAATTTCATGACCTACCACCTCACAGAGGGCTAACATAGGATTTCAAACTACCCTGTGGCCTCTTCATAATAGAACATCAAACTTAGGGACCAACATGGGCATAGGATTAAGATGAGGAATTCTTAATTTGACTTTTTTTTTTAACCTGTTGTGACTCACTCGTGTGAAATATACATGGATAGATTAAGTTTTGAACTCCTTTGAGAGTATAAACATGTCCCAGAGGTGTGTGTGTGTGTGCATGTGTGCACATATGTCAGAGGGTAGGGGGTTGGGGGAGGCTGGGATTGGGGTGAATGGGGAGTGTCTTTAGGTTCTCTGGGGGGTGTGTTTTTGGTTTCTCCAAAGGAGTGGGGGGTGACAAGCAGCAGAGGACCCCAGCCATAAGCATGGCTGACTGCTGCTGCTGCTTGGAGGAAGCCTGGAGTGCTTTCATAGCTGAACGACACACGGCTTTTCACTTAGTGCCTCAGTTTCCTTTTTAGTAAAATGGAGCGATGATGAGTGCCTGCTTCCTAGAGTTATCAGACAAATGCAGAAACAGGCATGAGGACCTGGGGTGGCAGCCTGGCCATATGCACACTTGAGAAAGGTGCAGCCATCAGTAAGTCTGGCTTTCAGCGGGTTGTGAAATGTCACATAGGAGATCATTTGGGCTAAGTGAGCTCAGAAATATGGTTTGGTATGCTTTTAATTGGTGTTTGTTTTTCACAGCGGTGTAAACCTCTTCAGTCTATTTTCTCTCATTGTTGCGGTAGCTGCAGTGGCAGGGACTGAGTTAGACACGTACTAGGAGCACATTGCAGCTTGCTCATGACAGCGGTTCACCCCTCTGTCACTTTTGGCCCCAAGCTCTGGTTCTTACTGGCCCCTGTTCCCTGCTCCTTTGGGAAACCCCTCTGAGAAACTAGACTGTTTTGTTCTGTCAGACATTGCGAGTTTTACAGAATCACTCTGTCCCCATGCAGTCTGCCCGAGCTGTGAAGGTGCTGAAGGAATGCATCCGGCTCAAGCCAGATGATGCCACCATCCCGCTCCTGGCTGCCAAGCTTTGTGTGGGTTCCCTTCACTGGGTAAGTGGGAGCTTCTCCCCTCTTCCACAGGGGTTCTGGCCCAGGATCAACTTCCTCCATGCCTCCAGTCAAACCTCACTTACCCTATGGGAGTCAGTGATCTCCAGGATGCTCCAGGCTTTCTTTTGAACAGAAATGTGCTTGAAAAGTAGCAGCGATAAGTTAGACTGGATTCACACTCAGAACCACAGCTTGTGGTGTGTGTGACATGTAGGACTGAAAAGGTCCCAAAGCTTTCTAGTCACCTTTAAAGATTCGCCCTCTACTCAACACACATATAACACAACTTCTTTCACAAGTGCTTTCTTCAGATAGACTTGTTCAAACTTGAGTGTGGCAATAGTCTAATTTATGAGGTTCTAGTCCCTCAACAAATGCAGCATTAGAAAACAGAAAGCCGACTACCTTGCTCAGCCTGTGGCATAGATGAGTGTCTCCTACAGTGGAGCTTTAACTTCATATCCAGTTAGTGGATGTGAAGATAATTTGCCCTATGGCTCAAGACTCTGTGCTAACTCGGGGTTTCTTCCATTCTGGTCCTCACTCCCTTCATTTTTCCATGTGTTCTCACCCAACAGGAGAAAAGTGAGCCTTGTAAAGAAAATGATCCATTGTTGTTTGATTTCCCTGGAACACAATAGCACAAAAAAAGAGCAAGCAGGCATAGACTCCCAGCCATGCTGTGGTGTGATGAGCTCCTGTGGATCTGACAGTTTGGGGCTGTGAGCAGAGGGAACAATGCCGGGGGCCTGGAAGGGAGCAACAGAGTGTACCTTGGCTTGGAACACAAGTGACTGCTGCCCTCTCCCAATGGGGGTTCTGTTTATTACTGTGATAAGCAGGTCCCTAAACACCCAAAATAAATCATTTTTTAGAGATGGGTGTAACAAATCTTTTCTGTATGTTTTTTCATACCTTTTTATTATTAAAAATTTCAAAGGCCTCAGCAATCCAGAGTATAATGAACTCTCATGTATTACATCCAGCTTCAGCACCATCATTTGCAACACTTTTTAAAGAAGCAAATCTCATTCTTTTTCTAGTGAATTGGGCAAGAGGTCTCATTGAGAGCGCAGTTGCATGTTCTCACAGGAATGTGCTGGTGTGAGGCCCATGTGTCATGTTCTGTAAAGTAGGTCGAGTTTTGAAATTTTTAACAGCTTGTGGCAAAGAGAATACAAGTCTGAATGCATTCTTTATGTCATGAATAAAGGGGGAAACCCAAACACAAGGCATTTCAAGAACTTTATTCTTTTCAAATACATTTCATTTGACCTCTTGTCCCTGAGTCTTATCCACATTATAGAACCAGCCAGTGAAAAATGAAGATGGAAAAGACAGAAGCCCACCAAATAAGAAAACAACTTTGAAAAACAGAGCAAATAAGCAAACGGGGAAAGTTTAAAGAAAAGATAAATAGGAGTCCTGTGGACTATTGAAAAGGCTCAATAAAGAAAAAGAGAATCACCAGGGTAGAGTTGGAAGGTTTGGGGGTTATTTCCAAAGCAACTCATTGAAAAACCACTGTTAGCAGCATGTACTGATGGGAAGTGATGTCGGACATTTGACAGGTTGTTGTTGTTTAACTTATCTTTCAGTTGGAAGAGGCTGAGAAGTTTGCCAAAACTGTCGTTGATGTGGGAGAGAAAACGTCAGAATTCAAGGCCAAAGGCTACCTAGCTCTGGGGCTCACATACAGTCTGCAAGCTACTGACGGTGAGAGAAGCCCCACCCTGCAGAGGCCAAGACTACCCTGTCTCATAGTCTCTCTGTCTTAGGAGGGTACAAAAGCTGGGCCGTCCAGGTACCCTGGCCTGTGGGGCCCCCAGTGCTCCTCCCTTCTCTGTCTAGGCTGGGATGGGGAAATGTCAGAAACCTGAGCTGGGGTCCTAGGCACATGGGGCAAGTGGTACCCAGGTTCCTAGCCAGCAGTGCTGGGAATCTATCCTGAGAGTAAGAAGAGCAAGGCCTCCAGAGATGAGACAAAAATTCCACTCCCACCCTGGCCCCAGCCCTTCATCTGGCCCATTCCTAAGGGAAAGGGTGGATATTGGAGCTTAGGTACTCTTAGTAGTATAGAAGAGTTTAGGGCCAAAACTTGCAGGGAGCAACCCTTCACTGGCCAGGGACTGTCTACTTCTTTGTTCACACATTTTAACTCACAAATCTGTACACACGCATTGTAGCTAACCAGTACCCATGGCTCCTGGTGGTGGTGATTTATATATTCTGAATATACTAAAAAAGATTTTTATTGGTGGATTTTGACTTTAAAATAAATCTTAATGTTTCATATGTTTAACTTTTGCAGAAAATATAAATTGATGTTATTTTCTGATTTTTTTTAGCATTTTATAAACTATAACATGAATACGGAAAAAAAAAAAAAACCCTCACAGACAAATATATAGCTTAATGACTAGTATAAGGTAAAGTGCCCTGAAGCACCACCCAGAGCAGGAGGTAGAATCTTCCCAGCCTCCTAGGGAGTCGCCCCCATTGCCCCGTCAGTCATAGTAAGACTGACTACCACTGTGACTTACAAATTAACCCAAAGTTTTCTTTTACTCTACCCTAAAATGCTGCATTTTTGGCATATCAGTTGCTTTTCAATACTGGGTTTCTGGATACTTTTCCATGTACAGATGATATATTGACCATACTCAGCATATGTCTTCAAATATTGACTTTCAGAGGAAAGCCTAAATGTCACAGACTTACCCATATACATTCTTGATTCAGAATCTACCCCTAAATAGCCTTTAGAATCAGTGCACCCTGCTGAATGCATCCTCTTACAGCATTTGAAGTTCAGTTGGGTCAATTAGAAGTTCTCTGTAGATCACTTAAGGTTCTCAATAGCCCCAGACCCAGCTTCATCCAGCCCTGTGGACAGCCTCCCACTACTAAATTCTTGGCAGTCAAGCTGCCCTTGTTCAGTGATTAGATAAAGGCCTCCTCCAGTGGGAACACTTCTCTGGACTCTTCCTTAACTCCAGCAAAATGTCCCCTTTTTATTCCTAGGCAGGCTACATAGGGAAGTGTTTGCTCACAGCCAGGAGGCATCACACATGTGAACCGATAGGCCTATAGCCATGTTGGGTGTGGCAGCTCTGTCCTTTATGTTGATATCAAGGTATTACAATCCTGGCCATTAACTAGCATGAATTAAACTAGCATCAAGCCAGAGTCCATGGCCCAGGGTCAGAAGATTTCTGAAGGCCATTGATCCACTGTGTATGATCCCTGACTGCACCTGGCAGAGCTAATTCTTCTTGTCTACCTTGGGGGAACCAAGGTTCTTTCTGGAGTTCAAATGATCTTTGGATAAATATTTCCCCACCCCCCATACCAGCATGCTCCAGGTTTTCTTTTTAAACAGAAATGTGCTTGAAAAGTAGCGAGGATAAGCTAGACTGGATTGACATTCAGAGAGAGACAGCTTGCTGTGTGTGTGACTTGTAGAACTGAGGTCCCAAAGCTCACACTGTCTCCTTGACATGGTTCCACAGTAATGTCCACTGAGCATGGAGAGAGCCTGGTGCAGTAGGCCCTCAGAACTTGGTACATGTAACGTGGCTTCTATGGTGGGTTTAGTTTTGCCACTCCCAACCCCAGCCTCTCTTGCCACCTACTAACAGAACACTTTTCTCAGCTTCCTTGCGAGGGATGCAGGAGGTCCTGCAGAGGAAGGCGCTTCTTGCATTTCAGAGGTGAGTGGGAGTTTGTCTTTTCACTCGCTGTACGTAGTGACAACCGAGTATGATGAGTATGAGAAAGGCAGGGTATTTTTAAAGATTATGTAAACAGTGTTTTGCCCCGGGGAGTATGTTGTCTTGAGCAGCAAACATGAAACCTCGAAACTAGAAGGGGGAGTGAGGGGGGGGATATCTATCACTCATTGCCCTTTTGTCTACACTCTTAATCCATTTGGGTATTTTTTTTATTCATTCCTGATAAAGTGATTTCAGCATGAGAAAGATAGACACTTTGTCTAGCAAGCTGGTTGCCTTATTAAAGGAATTTGTCGTTGTCTTTCTGCATGTCGAGCTGTAAGCTATTAAGAGATGCTGAAGCTGGAGGTTTGACAGTCTCTGAAACACCATGATAACAGCCATCCAAAACTCATTGCCCTACAATGCTCCACGGTACCTTGGCATTGCACAATGCATTGTCATTGTGAAATCTGTGAGTGTCCCCATGCCTCTGTGCATACCTGAGTGGACAGGACAAGCAATAATGCCATCACAGTATGGAGGTGGGGTGCAGGAATGTAAGGAGTCACCAGGGACATAGATTGGAGCCAGTGTCAAGCCAGGATCTAGGTAGTTTTACTTGTAACTAATTTTACTAATTTTGGGGTATAATAAATCATCAAAATTAAGTTGGTCCCTGAAAATGCAGCCCTGTGAGGAGAAATCTAGAATTGGAATTGGTCCTGTCATTTTTTTTCTTTTTTTTTATTAGTTCAAATTAGAAACAAGCCTGCTTCACATGTCAATCCCTTCTCCCTCTCCCTTCTCTCCTTCCCCACCCCCCACCAGCACCCCACTCCATCCCCCATCTGCTCCCCAGGGAGGGTAAGGCCCTCCATAGGGGATCCCCAAAGTCTGTCATATCATCCTGGGCAGGGCCTAGGCCCTCCCCCATGTGTCCAGGGCCTGTCATTTTTAATACATCTGAGTTACAGTGATTTCTTAAAACTGTAATAGATACTTAGTTTTGTCTTTGAAACCCTCATGAGCCTCCCTGTGCCAGCCACCTTTGTTAGATGCTTTCTTCGGGGTTGCTTAGTACAGATCTGCCGTGGTGTCCATGTGCCTTCGTCATGAAGTCCTTACCACCTGATTCTGCTCCTCGAAAATGCCCGTGCCTTGTTTCTTTCTGTGACTCCATCAGGTTTGTCCGTGACTCATTCACATTGCTGGTCCTATTCTTGATTAATGACAAAAAATACCAGCTGACATCTGCATTGACCATCTCTGGGCTCAGCATTTGTTGTTAGTGTCCCTCAGCCCAGAACATGAGAACATTTCCATTTCAAATGATTGCAGGTTTTGCTTTCTCCAGACCTAGTTTGTCAAACCCACACACGGATGCCTCAGAAAACGGCCATCACATCTGTTTCACTTTTCTTAAATCAGTCTTGCTGGTTCTCTAAAAACAGCCACAGTGGTGGTCTGCCTGGGGCTGCCTGTGTAGCCGAGGGTTATGTAACAGCTGTTCTGATGGCCTGAATTCTTTTCTCTTCCTTTTCTACTTAGGTTTGAATTCAAAGAGATTTAACCTTTTTGTTCCTAAGGGACTAAGGAGCAGTAAGCCGTCCTAACCTGACTGCATTGCAGAAGGCTAACCTAAATTAGGGTTTATCTGAAATACAGAATGTTTTTCAAATGCATACAATGATTTTGATTCAAGTAGACATTGACTAGTTTAGTGAATTGGAGACCTAATAAAAGCTTTAAGGAAAAGATTTTAAATAAATAAGAAAGATTTATTACTTCTTAAATGTAAATAGAGAATTTAAAACCACTTGGGTGAGAAGTGTTTTTCTACCATGTATTTTATATTGTTTCCCCAAAGTTCTGTTTATACTATTATTTTGCTTCTGGTTTTGCTGTTTGTTTTGTTTGAAAAAAAAAGAAGTGGTACATTTAAAAGAGGGATAGGGTTGCAGAGATAGCCTGTGAGAATGAAGTCTTAATCATAACTAGAGGCAGAATTTGGAAAGATTTGTTCTCCAGGCACTCAAAGGGCCAATGTCTGAATATATCAAAGTTGTGTAGCTTTATCCAGATACTGAGATACCTAAGCTGTTCTTACCCATAACCTAGTCACCTCAGCCAGTTCATTCATGCTGAGCAGAAATATGGTAAGAGAAAATACTGTCATGTGCAGTGTTATAAGCTGTTGCTTCAGTGAACTTTCACATCCTATGGAGAAAAGCAGTCCCAAAGATGGTGACAGCATGTGTCACAAATGCACTAGTAAATGCTGCTCCCAAGGGAAACAGTGGCATTTTTATCATCCATGTCTGTTGCTCTGGGTAGCATGGGATATGCAGCTTCTCTTTATTGTCTCTCTCTCTCTCCCCCTAGCTTGGGTGTAAGTGTAGTGATTTTATGTGTAGGGGATGATAGCTTGGGCCTGAGCTGTTCCTAGAATGTAAGACCTTCAGTTCTAAAGTAGCCACCTGAACAAACTTAAGGTATGTAAGTAACTATCAAGAGCACTCTGACTTAACTGTGCATATTTCTTCTTAATTCATGAATTCTGTGCCCATTGTAATCAGAACTGAAAGGGACTTTGAGAAATTAGCCAAACAGGACAGCAGGATGATGACCAAGCCTTGGCATCACACAGTCCCTCACTCTACTTCTGAGTTTGCCTCTTTTTCTGGGTATTCTTAGATAAGATGTTCATAATAGATACATTGTAAATTGTAGTCATCATGGCTGTGAGAGCTGTGCTTTATAAGCCAGAATCAAAATTGATCACCATCGTCTATATTCTTGGCTCGGCTCTAGATGCTGTTGGAGCTGGAATTAAGGAGTGCACTGGATATGCTGGGATCTAACCAGGTTGTCTGAGTCATCCACGTTCCAACAGCAGCCCAGCATGCCTTTGTCTGGGCACTGCATCCATTACACTGTGATGATTATTTGGGGTCTCTCCTTCTGGTGGGATGGGAAGAGCTCCCTAAGGAAAGGCACTTGTATTATTTATCTCCAGACTCCTTAGAGCCTGGTAGTACTTACTCCTCATAATATAATATACCATAACATAATATAAATGGATAGATAAACAGATGAATGGGAGCGAGTGGATAGGGATGGGCGGATGAGTAGGTAGCTTAGTAGATAGATGAAAGGGTAAGTCAATAAGAGGGGGGTTGATGGATGTGAATGTAGGATTGGATGGGTGGGTGGATGGATGGGTGGATGAGTGGGTGGATGGGTGGATGGGTGGATGAGTGGATGAGTGAATGGATGGATGGGTGGGTGGATGGGTGGATGGATGGATGGGTGGGTGGATGGATGGGTGG